AGTCATGTACACTTTTTTTTAAATTGTAAAATTTTTTTCGAGCCATATTTGTATTTTGCGTAATATTGCGAGCCATATTTGCAACTTTTAAAATTTCCAGCAATTTGTAAACACTATTGTATTTGGGACTAGAGGTGCTTCAAATGACTTTAAATGAAGTTGTTCGAAATCTAAAAAAAATTCTTTGAAAAAGAGCTTCAAATTTTTGAATTTACAGTAGCATTTAAGCACTATTTTCTCAAAAACTGCTCGATGTTTTTCAAAGAGAATTGACTTTTAGGTCGAGATTTTACTATTCTTTAATAATCTTTAATATTTCAGTTCTAGGAAACCGAGAAATTAAGAACATTTCAAAAAACTACTTTGGGCGGCAATAGATGGCAGCTGGCAAGGCAATGAGGCAAGTAGTTAGGCGAGAGTAACAGAAATAGAAAAGTAATACAGGAAACCCTGTGCCATTCTGTAGCAACACTAGTTTTAAATTGTAATTTACTGCATGTTAAATTGTGATGCAATTTTACCAGCGATTTCTTATATATTAAATTAGTAATCTATTTTTAAAAATGTAGCCCGAAATCAAAAATATACGTTTCATATTTTCAGGGCCATGTGGATGTCCAGAATCGGGAAATATAAATTTTAGAGAAAAGCCGACAGAGCCATTTGGCCGTAAACGAATTTTTCGGTATCAACCCCCACAAGACGTGTATTCTGACTACATGGTTATTTTATTGGAAGTCATTTACTACATGTGGGAAAATGATGTATTCACTTTTTTATTTAGGGACCCACATATGCGTTTTCCTGACAAAAGACCGTCTCAATCAACAGGGTTACGCTACAGCATTATAACACTTTCTCTTTACTGCGTAATTACGTATTAGACGAGAAAAGGAAAGTGTATGAACATATGTCGATCGCATAATCACAATTGGTTATTTCTATCAAGAGTAGGTTCTTCCCTTTACCCAAGTTTTTAAATTATTTCATATAATTGTTCATAATTCATACTTCATACTTCAGAAGTATATAGAAATTCATACTTCATACTTCAGAAGTATATAGAAAAAGTTATTGTTCATTTTCGAAACTCGAAAGTCAGATTCCATATATCTGGAGTATACATATATGAATAGTTTGAGTTAAAAATATATTTGGATTCTCACTACAGTAGTTTGTTTTGTAAAATGTATTTTTTATTAATAGAACGTAAGAAAAGGCAAACATTTGAATACTTCAATATGAAAAGACACCGATTCAAATCTCGTCATGGCAAATCGCGTAAAGCAAAGAACTCTAAAATAACTGTTCAAATTTTCTGCTCCCTTTCTATTTGTATAAGTATGGAATCAAGAAATATTTTCTAGGGGTTCTATTAATTTTTATGGTAGTATTTTTTTTATTTCAAACCTGGAATGGGCTTGGATGGCCCCAGACCGCTGACAAAATCCGTATCCATGACGCTGTTTGAGAACAGATGAAACTTGCGAGTGGAATACTAGCGAGAAATTGTCAAAGAGACAGCGCGTACACCAAAGCGGGGAAGAAGGAGGAAGGGATGTCCATGAGATGATCCCTTTGTCAGCGTGGATAAGGAAACTAAGGGGGTTTCGATGTAAAGTTTAAATCAACAGGGTTAATTGTATTGCAAGATCATCTCTGTATCAAATTCACACAACACACTGAACCCCGAGGTAAAGGTTACTTCGTTTAAGCGGTCATCTCTATCAGCGGCTTTTTTCATGAAACTTTTTTTTTACAATGGAGGGTAAATATATTTCCTTTTTTAAGCTTGATCCTGCAGCCAGCGTCTAGACGAATTTCGTACATTAACAGGTATTAGACGGTCATAACTTCCTGAAGCCATTTTGAATTGTATACGAGTCAAAAGCGAAAGAGTTGTTTATTTTTTATTTAGTTTATTTTCGCTTTGGGGCACAATATTGTCAGATTGTTTACAACAGTGATATTTATAGTTACTTAACTCACAAGGAAATTTATTTTATGTTTCACATAACTTATAACAATACAAAATTAACACTGCACTATGTATAATGGAAATGTCATTGGGAAAAAATTAAGTAAACAAATAATTTTTGTGCACACTACGGATTTTCATCGTATTGTAGATTAGGATTTCAAGACTAATTGAGAATGCAATGTACAAATGGAAAAGAAAACTGTTTTGAATTAAAGTGTCGCAGCTGACATTTAAAGTATTGATACGTACGATCTGGCAATATTTCTACTTGCGATAAAAATCTTACAGTGTGTTGCGATTTAATTGTAAGGTGAAGAAAAGGTGTAATTTTAACATGTCTCTTCTTTGCAAATGGCAAAGGTAAATTTCAATATTTCTTTTCTTATTTCCAAGACCTCCATTTAGCCGCCAACTCTTTTAACGGCCCTTTTTGCTGGACCTCTTAGTGGATGCTTAACAGGATTCACTGTAAATTAAATTTCGTTTGTTGTTGGGAATCTCTATTAACAAGCGTGATCGCCATTCGCAGCGTTGACGGCTATGGCATTTAGAGGTGGTGTATGGCAGTGACAAGTGAGAAATAGCTGCCCATTCTAATGCTTAAAATTCAGCAATTTGCATGTATTGAAATTCTTAATAATGTAATTAATTTGTGCATTTCATTACAATTTATTCTAAATGACGACGTCTAAAAGTGTAAATAAATAATTTGACTGTCCTCTCTGAAAATAAATATTACCATAAAGTCTTTTTGTCGTTCTCTCTGAGGAATAATTATATTTTCTTTCGTAAACATGGGACATTTTAAAAGCTGTAAGAAACGCTAGAAATTGAAAATACAAGTGTGAGAAGAGTAAATGTCTAAAACGCGGAAGGAAACCATAATATATTCCAATAGACAGGTCTTTAATTTTAGTCTGTTATTAAACAAGGTAACAATCATTATAGAAACTTAAGATAACCTATTAATATGCTCTAAGTGATTCAATACACCGAATTTTAATGAATATATTACATTATATTTTAAATAGAATCTTAACACAATGATGGCGCTCTTTACAAAGAATGTTGCAGAGATGAGTTCGCAGAACTGTGTGAGAGCTGCTATTCGATACTGTTGCATATCTGGTTCCCATTATTTCAAAATAATTAATTTCGCATCCACGACGCTTGTTGCCCGCTGTATCGGGTAGCTTATGCTCATTCTAGGTCAGAAATGTTCGGTGGAATGGGAGCCCCTCATATGGAGTTTCTCCATTAAGTCAGTCGGTTATCGCACTCTGAAAGCGTCGGCGGCGTTTGGCGGCTGCCAGCGAGACTGACTCGCATTTACTCTGAGAGAGAAATGGTCTTTCGCCAACTGTTAGAAACACAAATATGCAGGGACGTATGTGTTGTTCTTGCAAATTAGGTTCGGAGTGAAAAAATGTGGCGGAATGAAATACTGTATATTTTACATAGTAAAATAATTTTTCAACTGTTCATTTAATCTCGCTATCGTTTTATGCTCATATTGTTTCACATTATCAATCCAATTCGCACAAGAAATCTAAATAAAATACACTTGTTTCTATCTAATTTAGTTCTTTTTCATCAGAAGACTACTAAAGTAGTATTTCCTTTATTTTATAACTCTAGTTCATATTTTAGCCATAAAATCAACCTTACTTTCCAAAAGAGACGGTTAATTTAGCAGACAGATTGGGTAATGCTTTATGAATAGCGGAGAAGACTTCACTCGGCTATTGTCATTGGCTATAAGATGCTGACTAAAGCAAGGTGATTGTGTGTGGGGCGTTTTGTGTGTTCCCAAGATGAGTTGGGCATAAAACTATGGTGTAAATTATGCATTACACAGATTAAAGGTCGTTTGAAGCAAATTGTCAAGGTCGAAGACAGGATCCTCATTTCCAACATGGAAGGACATAGCGAAGTGACAATAGTTATACAGTCAATTTAGATTAGGTTAAGTGGTATTGAGTACTAGACATTTACGATTGAGGGAGTGAAATTCGAAACGACACACCTTGTCTCTCCGTCATCTTAGAGACTTTCCCCAGCAGTCTCATTTCTGTTTATAATATATTATTATATGATTTTCCTTGACACTTTAACGTAGTTCACATACCCAAGCTATTTGTGTCGGGTAATGTCCCGTTCCTTCGGCTCAAGTCCAAAGTAAGCTTCAAAGATACTCCAAAGAACTTATACCGTCCATTTTGGATAAGTAAACATTAGCCATCTAATTCTGGAATTATCCACTATAAGACGTAAGACATTCGAGCATTAACATCTAATATGTATAATCTCAAAACATTATGTCAAGCAGTAGTTTAATCGAAACATGATTGTTATATTAACATAAAACAACGTAAAAAGTTTAGCTCATGCCTCTGCTGCAGTTGCGATCGGGTGATTCTAGGGTTCATGTCCCGACTGTGGCGGATTTTCGACACTACAGAGCTAAGTCGGATGCAACGGCTTTCGGGATGAGAATTCTAGAGCCCTGCTGCTCTGATCGGTTTTTTTCTTTGGCTTCTCCGATTAATACCAGGCGAATGTTGGAACAGTACCCTAGCAATTGGCCTACGGTCCGAACGCGTTGTTTCCTTCCTCATCCTTGCCCTACCCTCACAACTTACACTTACACTCACATGCACTACACTACCACACATGCCGGGAGCTTAGAGCTATTAGCGACTGGGACGGAACTTCGCAGGGGTTGATACCTGGGCAGGGAAATTCCCTCCGAGCCGACGAGTAGGTAGACGCCGGAGCTCACTATCCAGCGGGGAAGGAACCCCGCCCCCTCTTGGCATAAAAACCATCCACTACACTAACGACACTATAACCATAGCTGACGAATTAGGGATAATCAATCAATCAATCAATAAAACTGAAGTAGACGGTGAAACTGTTAAGGACAAGATTGGACAAATTTAATCAAGCATTGTTTCTGCAATGATTTAATTTGAATATTTGTTGCAAAATAATGTAATGATTTAATTTCCATTTTTAATGAAACTGGTAATATTCATACAAAATTAAATCTGGAGAAAGGTTTCAACGTAGAGTCTTATTTTATACAGTATCAAGCAATGATTGTCGATAAATTCTGATTTTCGACTATCTATTAATGTTTCCAGTGCAAGTGACAATGATCGTTAACGGACCCGGAGTTACAAGTTTGACCTGTTCGTTTCATGGCGTCTGCACCTGGGCCCGGAATAGAGTAATTCTGAGAATCAGTTTTTCCTCCGCTCCCTGGCAGAACAGGTTTGCAACTGGAATTTGCGCGCTCTGGCAGAGGCCTTCGCGGTGGCCACTGCGTCGCTTTCTGAATCGTTCTTCCTGCAACAAAAGAAGATTCTCTCTCCTCACCTATTCCGCGAATGAAATCGTTCTTACTTCTAATGTGACTTTTCAGAATTAGCTTGAAAGTTAAAAAGTTGGAAAGGTACTTGAACCAATATACTTTATTTATGTAGTATCTTTATTGCTATAAAATTATTCAAATTGAGAGACCTTTAAAGCGTAGCATTAATAAATGAATTCCACATTATTTCTTTAATGTGCATGTAAAAGAGTGATATTGCATAAAATTTTTGTTCGGCCTTTTAATATAGAATATTTCTTGCACTCATGTAAAATTATAAATAAAAGCCATAACAGACTGTATCTACGTACAATTAGAAAGAGGAATTTAATTAGTTAATTAAAGCAGTTTATTGACAATTTATTTAAGATTTTGCTAATCATTTGTTCACAATCAGTAACTTTGAACTGATTTCTCGAAAATTTCAAGTCAGTATCAGTATAAGTATATTCTTGGTTAATATTCCAATTGAAGAGCGTTTGCTATAAGAGGAGAGGTGTTGTTCCAGTCCTGCGCAAAGCAATATTTCATTTACAGTCACAGTCTTCTAATATTATTCGCTGCTTTTAAACCTTACTAGTTTCTTTTGAGCCTTTCTTGGCCTGCTCCCTTGGTGTCCGCCCCAACAGGCCCGTATTACTTGTAATAACTTCATTCAAGTTTTATTTTTTAGATCTAAGTTTTAACAAGATTAAGTGAGATGGAAATGGCTTTTGATGAGGTTATTTCCGACTTATCTGTCCCAACAGCTCTACGAAGTGAAACAACTTTGACCTCAACCAAACTACTATCAATATTTTCTCAAAGTTTGTCTAAAAAGGAATTTTCCCAACAAAGATCATCTGCAATAATTGATTACATTGATGGTGTATTCCAAAAAGATTATTTTAAATACATTTTCAAAGAAACGTGCCCCTAATATTATTCAGTTTATGTCACGAATACAAAAACTCCTTCCTACAAGAACTTATAGACAAAAATATATCAATAACCAACAGCAAAACATCATTGTAAATTAACCGAAATTAGAAAAAACAAATATTTAAGTGTATGAGAAATTGGGTACACATCTGTCCCCTCTTAAAGAAATATTATTGCACTTGCATTAATAACACTTTATATTTTATTTGAAATGAGTTTTATTGAGAAAACAAAACAAACTTCCAACCGACTTAAAAGAGCTCTAATATTTCCCGTTAAAAAAGCTTCATTAATACAAATGTTAGTAGGTATCTATGCTACCCTGAGAGAAATGAATCAGATAACTGTAGTGACGTATGTTAAAACAACTGAAAATCTTTATTATCAACTACTGAAAGCATGTTAGAATGGATTGTAAATGAATTTAGGACACGTACGTTAAAATCTATTAATACTAATTTATAAATATAATTATTATATTTGGATAATTGAAAAAAACTAATACTTCAGAAAGAGGGCCACTACACTCAAAAAGTATACTGTGGAATTAAACTGTATTAAATTATACTGTGTACTAATTAAATTATACTGTGAAAAAATGGAATCAATGGAGGAATATCCAATGGAGGTGTTGCAATATAAAATCATCTCTGCATGCTCATTTCTCGACTCTTCAACATCTCAGTGTCCACTAGCACTAGCAATTGAGTAATTCTAAGGATCAAGGTCCTGTAGGGAAAAACTCGATTTTCAATAAATGGTAGTTGAAAGCAATCCGTTCGAAAATATTCATAATCACGGATGATCTCATTTTTGTAAAGTTAATCTGAAAGTTGTTGAGAGTCTAACTTAATTTATATTAAATAAATAGATGCAACCTTTTTTAACTTCTTATAAACAGGTTGTATTACGAGACTTTCTTATCCAGAACTATGCTTGTCTACTATATCATAAATAAACATACCAAAATTACTCAGTAATTTATTTGTTGTACTAAATCACTTACAAAAGAGAAAAAAAATTACAGAAATACTATTTTCATACTTCATCCATATGTTTCTCCGAGTTTTTGACCATCATGCTATTTAAATTTGTAATGTCTTTCGTGGTCTTCCATGCTTTTTTTATTGTGCTTGAACATTCTAATTATTTTTTCTTGTTCTTCGTCTAGGTTCTTGAGTTAAGTTTTTCAAAAATTTCACGTTGTTCAAACAGGGGTATAAGAATATCTCTCTCATTTCTTGTTAGATCAGCTGCTCAAGAAATAGACTACTGCACCTTGGAGTCGAAGAATTGAACTGAACATTAGGGAACAAATGAAGAGCGATATGGCGGTTGGTTTAAAGTGTTCTATAAATAGCATTATAGTTCCCCTCCCCATAAAGCTTTAATTATATCCCAAGATGGAAATTCTATGAAGCCAACGTAGATAAAGATACGTAAGAGACAAGAGAATCAAAAAAAATTAACTTTGCTGGAAGAAACACAATCATTTCACCTACTTCGAAAAAATTAGAAATTAATAATTGAGAAGGTAATAGCAATGAAAAGGGAAATGGATTTTAAAGAAAAATAATTAAAAAATAAAATAAAAAAATTTTAAAAAAGTTGAAAAAGTGGGGAAAGATGACTTTAAACCCTCAATTTTTTCCATTAACACAAAGTACTTCAAAAAATAGTCGGAAATGGAAAGAAAGGAAAAGGAAAACTAACAAAGCAAAAGGAAATTTTTAAAGTGGATAAATTTGCAGGATAACATGTGTTATTATTGAGAATAAATACCCAAATCTGATAACAACTAAAATGAACTGATATAAAATAAATTTTCAAAACTGGACTACAAACATATTCATTCGTTAAAATATAGGAATGCCAAATCGTGTATGTGATTAAAATCAGGTTTATCTTCTTTGTCAAAATTAAATTCATTTTTATTGAAATTGTGAATTTCAATGTCTATTTAAAATGTTCTATATTTTGTTCATTGAACAAGACATTTTTGAGTTTTCTTTTTTGCTCATAGTAATAATGACATATTAGGATTTGTGAGCTTTTTGTTTAGTGCTGAGAAGTTACGGAAGAAGTATTGGTGTCATTTTAAACCAATAATAAGCCATAAGAACAGTTTAGTAATTTCGTCTCTCTTACTTCATTTCGTTGTTGGACGTTTCTTCCTTCATCCGATATAAATTGGTCTTCACACACTAGCAGTTGCGTGTTTCACACTTCTCATCTCTATAATCTATAGAGGGATCGAAACTCCGGAATGCGTTCCATTTTATCTGTCCACTATGATACATGAAAATAGATAATCCAAACAGATTGAACTTTCTTCTAAATAAGCATATTGTCTTTAAAATATGTATATTCTCTATAAAATATGCATATTCTCTTTAAAATAAAAATGTTGAATGTCAGGGAAGGATAAAATTCACAAGAAATGCCACAAAGTCTGTTCACTACTATTTATAACTGGGATTAGTACCGGCAAAAATTCTGGGAAGATAAAGATCTGCAGCCACTATCTCACACATCGTTAAGAAGTGACAAGGAAGATGTAGTAGTGCGGACATTTTGGTGAAGGAGGAAGGAAAACGAAATGCAAGCGACGAAAGACAAAAAGGGGAGGAAAGGGGATGAAAAGGAAGAATGATTCCTGTGAGGAAGTTTTAAAAAATATGTAGAAATCTCATGTGTTGATGTAGATGTTCAAACGCGAAATGTTACAGGTGTGAGAAGGGTATTTAAAAGCGGTGCTCTAAGAGCACACACTTTGTCACATTATTTGTAATGTCTACGCAATATTATCTACTTCATGATCTGCCAAAGTGATTTCAACTAAGAATTTATTTTTCTCCAAGTCAAATTTGAATTCGGGATTCTCCGAATATACACACAAGAAACATTACCCATACATCTAACCCAGACGGTTGCAAATACACATATCGATGCTTAAAAAGGAATTGTTTTCGGCATTATTTCAATCTTTTGCAATTATTACAAACTAAGCAAAGTCAACGAAAACGAGATCTAAACCAGTTTTTAGTGTCCTTTACTGAATCCGAAGGAAAAAATTCAAGAAAAATGAGATCCCTTTTTGAGAATATTTTTGAAAAATTGCATGAACTTCAAGAATGATGTACAGAAAACTACTGATTTTTTGGAAATATTATATATGATCTTTTTTAAAGATCTATTTTTAGACTATACTTCATTTAAAAATTATTCTATCATCAATTTGCAATGTTAATTTCTTGCATCGTGTGTTGTGTGTATTATTCGATAGACGCAGTGTTCTCCTAAAATGGGACCAGAAACAATTATTTTACCGTCCTTTGATACATACTGAAGAAAAATCTGGAAGAGTATTTTCATACTAATTGTTATTTTTGAAATTGCTTCTATTTCATGGAAAATTACATGAACACTACTCATTTTCAAAAAAATTGTTCATGATATTATCGCAATGTGTGCCTTGTGAAACGAATTTCATTCTGAAACTACTGGTGCAACAGAATGACAGTATCAATTGCGCATTAATTTCTTTTCTAATCATTTTAGTCTACGCTAGCTTTCCAGTATTGCCACACCCTCTTCCAAGCTGCTACCTATCAGCGGCAAAACGAAATTATTTCATATTTTCTCAAATTTTCATTTCCCTACTCTTTGAATTGAAATATGTCTTTAAGAATATTACCGAAGAGTAAAACAGTCTGTATGCAAAATTTCATTGAAATGTTTAGAGCCGTTTTTGAAAAAAATATAATTTTAACGGTTCTAAAATGCGCAGTTTGGAGCTCATTTTCAAAGAAAGGTTTTGGATTTTTGAGAAATTCAATCAGAAATCATTTGAAGCCCATGTGTTTAGAAATACAAAACTGTAAAGTAAGTGACCGTAAGTGAAAGATTAAAAAATTAAAAGAATAAATAAAAATTGTTTTCTCGTCATTTTATTCAGTACATTTAGCACTAGCAGTACGAAAGGTTTCAGTTTCAGGAATCATTGTCTCTTCCCACAGAACAAATGCTGTTTAGTTTTCTCTCAACTTCTGCGTGCATACGAAATTAATAATATAGCTTATATACTCTATTGAAAGAAGGCCAAGTGTTCTTGGACAACATCTATTAATTCATTTGAAAATAAAATACTTCTGATACAAGTAACGCAATCATGTAATAAAATGTTGATGACAATTTGAATACAAGAGTGTTACCAAACCATTGACACCTTTGTATGTAAAATCATACTACTCCTACAATTGTGCATGTGAGACCCACGGGATTAGTGAGATTTGTTATGCCATATAGTAACTATTCAAAGACGAGGCAAGAAAAAAAATCTGTGTCATTGTGGTGTATTCATTCTAGAGGGGAAGCATCTTGGCATATAATTGAAAAACTCTTTCACGACTGTTGTGTACTCAGGCTTTCACAAGTTTCAAACAGAATAAACCGTTTAAACATCTTCCATCTCTTGTTTAAACTTGCCATCTTGAAGCTAGATGCTCCTTACTGTGATCAATCACGTATTCTCATATGAGAATTATTTCGCATCTCACCCCATAATCAAATGTTTGTTGATTTATGCAGTCTGTGATACAGCTACATTGAAGAAAGTCCTAAAATGATCAACGTAGTACAATCGATCGCTTCACTTTTAACTAAAAGCAGTTGAGGTGACAGGACGTTTCCGTTGGAAGTAAAGACAAACAAGCAAAACATGTTACAATCTGCCTGTAAATTACATCGAAAAGATTATCCAAGAGTTTAAATTATCCTGATTATAATGTCATTCATGATTATTAAGGATTCTATGAAGATATTTTCATGTTTTCGCATGTGAAAGATGTTAGCACGTGTTGAAGCATTGCACTCACGCTGCGTTTTCTCATCCACTGCTTTTAATTTTCATATGCTTTAAATGTTTAAATTTCCTGGTTTCAATAATTTAATATCTGATATACCATCTTTCCAACCACCGCGTCCATGGTGACGGGAATGGTATTATCGTACATTCAATTGGAGCTGGTTTGTGACTGGTGTACCGAGCCAACTACGTGTTCATAACGGCACGGGCCCGGGCATCATTTCAACGGACACCTGGAATCTGGGTTTGCAATCTCCCAGTGAGAGCGAAAGCTACCGAGACAATTAATAAAAAGACGCCTGAAATCTGCCATCTGAGAAGAGGAGCGGTCCAGGGAAAACTTGGTTCCTCCCAAGGAGTATTCGTCATCCACGATACCCGCCCCCTTGATGCTCAAAGTAAGGTCGACGTTTCTTTATCATTCCGTAAAAAGGCGGAGGTATTTATTAGGCATCTGTGCGCGCTAAAGATGCAAGAACTCAGGACAATCAGCCACGTGATTTGGTTGCTCCGCCGTCACATCGCTTATACACTACTGTTAGAATTGCCCGAGAGAGAGAATATTATTTCTATTGCCTCGCCCGCTGCTTTGTGAAGGTCGTGCGTCGCGCAATATAAAATCTGTACGTCAGCACTGGATTCACCTGCGAATTCGAAACAACGTTATAAATATGAAAAAAATTTGCGTGATTGCGATTAGCGGTGGCGGTCCCCTTACAATATTGAAAAATTGATCATTGAATAACTGTCAGTATCTCAGCAAACAAGTCAGCAAAACACTAAGAATGTATTATCATTACATGTTGGAAGTACAGGAAGCACTATAAACCTGACAGCGGAATCTACATAGACAGTTATATTAGAGTAAATCAGTAATTAAATTGCACCAAGCTGAAGAAATTAACTTTAAGAAATTACAACCCTAAAAAATAATGGGGCTACAACAGCGCATACATTTCCGCATTATTGGAAACAGTTTTGTAATTTCTCATATTGTAATTTCTGCCCTACTAAGACCTGAGTTATAAAGTGAAGAAGTCCAATTCAAACGAAGTACCTGTGGTAAATCACTGCATTTATTTCGATAGGCAGGAACATTAATCTTTTCTTACTTTTACAAATGAAACAAAATGAATATATTTATCTCTTACAGTATTTGCTTAATATATGTATATATCTCTTACAGTATTAGGAAATTATACAAGAAAGCCAGAATAATTTCACACAAGATTGGCTTGTTTACATTTAAGTGAACTTCTATTTTTTTTAATATCTCAATCAGCGATCAAAACTTTTTACACTCCATAAAGTGTATTTTGTAGTTGTAAAGTGTATTTTGTAGTATGTAAAACCTATTGCCTTCTATAAAATCTATATATTGTATTAAATCTATTTTACTTCCAAATAATATTTAATAATAATATTTACATCATACGATCATCACATCCGCTAACAATGACAAAAATTCTAAGAATTGCTAAGCGCCGTGTTGCAATTTTGCAAACTGACAGCCCATCCGACCAATCCCGGGAAATTCGACTTTGCAATTTCGAATACGGTTTGCAATTGTTAAAAATCTCCGACTATGGGTCCAGCATCATTTTTAGCGTAATTTACTAGATACGAGGGAAAATGTGAAGAAAACAATGGTGTTTCTGAGAGAGTAATTTTTTAAAAAAACACTGAACATGACTTCAATTAAAGATATGTTTTTGAGAAATAGATTTCATTAAGGAAAACATTTTATATTCATTATTGTAGTTGTAGGAAGACACTGAAAACAATTTAACTTATGCAATTCTTGAAAATTCAGGGAGCATAGCTAAACTGCAATACACACCATTTTTATGCTTCTTTTGCACTTACAGAGGAGAAATGGAAACATTATTAGAAAATTTCGGACACGTTGTTGACACATCATGTAAAGTACCACCAAAAAATCAAAAATGTTTCAATATACACTGAGCTACGACATCAGTCAGTCCCATTGCGGAATATTACGAGTAATTTTGGTGAAAATCCTGTAAACGATTTAGACGCTTAATAGACAACTAAATCTTCTTAAATGTATTTATAAGAACATTTTAAAACTGACGCATATTTTTCACTACGAAAAGTACTTCGTAATTTACTCACGCCTCTATGCCATTGTAGCAAGTAGATTTTTGAACCACGCCTCTGAAACGCTTCTCGTCCAAATCACCACGTCCATTCGACCTCCGTGCTGCCTCCGAGCTGCCGAAGGAGCGTCCGTGCTG